ATTTTAACAAAAGTAGACTAATTTTGAAAGTCTGAGGTCGAATCTTGATCACAGTTCATATTAAAATTTTGTTTTGTTTTGTTTACTATACCTTTTGATAGCTGTTTCTTGATTCACATGACAGGACAAACAATTTAAAACAAGAGATGTACTTTTATATATAAACATACTATTTTATTTATTTATTTATTATACATGTTTATGCCTGTTGCATGACTCATGATTGCACATAGTTTAAAAACAAGAGTTGATCCTTTTATATATAAACCTCTGTAATGTTAATTTCGATTAATTTCCCTGAAGAAGTTCGGACCAGATTGCCGAACGAAACGTTGGAATTAATCATTTCAATATAGCTGAGATTTTACAAATATAATTTTATAAATATTATTATTAGTATTATAATTATACATACTTAATGGCCAACTTAAAGAATAGCGACCATGAAGTGAGAAAGCATCAGTGGCCTTGAACGCATACGGATTGTTGGATTACAGAACCTCCCATCATTATAGTGGCACTATGAACACCGTGCTTGTAGTGAGGTGTAAACTTCATACCGATCTGATATCAGCTCATGATGAAACCTTCTAACCAATCAAACGAAATTCCTTACGAAACCAATACTTGAAAATTAATCTGATTTTCACATGAAACAGCAAATCATCGAAGAAGACATTGCGAAGTGATTGCGCTAAGTCATGATTTGGCAGAAGTTAGAATTCATGGGCTGGCCATTGGATCAAGTGCTAGTAACTTATTGGTCTACTAGCTAGGTCGCCTTGTAACCAGAAGGTCCTGGGTTCGAACCCTGGTGGGGTGCGTACTGATGAAGAGTCCCAAACTAGACTGACGAAACAGCTGGCTGTCCAGTACTCCCAGATGGTTTTCCAATGGTTCTATAACTGGTGTCAGCTCATGATGGGAACCCTCCAACCAATCAAACACAATCCCCACAAAACCAGTACTTGAAAATTCATATCGATCTCTTTTTTAAATACAGTATGGATAATGAGTTGATAGCTCGTTAGGGTTAGGGTTCAAATTAGGGTTAGGATTTTGCTTAGGATTAGAGTTTGAATCAGAGTTAGGGTGTTGTATGATCATTATCTGTATTTTTCGTGTTAATAAATAAATGAGAGCAGAGTGAACCGTAGTTCATATAGATTAGAGTGTAGTTATGCATGTATCTCATAGTCACGTGCACAATTACTCAATGAATGGCATTACTCTCCCAGTGGTCACTGAGTACAAGGACTTGGGAGTGGTTGTGCAGCATGACTTGAAAACAGTAACAAACTGTAGAGCTGCAGCCACTAAGGGTTTTCGAATATTATGGGCCATACGCAAGGCTTTTGCGAACTTTGACGCTGAAATATTTCGTATATTATATCCGACTTATATCAGACCTCATTTGGAATATGGGATCCAGGCAGTGAGCCCGTGTTTCAAATACGAAATAGACTTATTAGAAAGGGTGCAAAGAGTAGGAACTAAGCTAATAAAGGGTTTCTCAACCCTCTCATATGAGGAGAGGTTAAGTCGACTGGGTTTATTTCCACTGTCATACAGACGACTTAGGGGTGACCTAATACTAGCATACCGTATCCTAAGAAATGATTTTGGAGCTAATTTATCTAATTTATTTCTTCCTTCTAGCACCAACCAATTGCGAGGACATCACCTCAAGGTTCAAAAACCACGGTCGAATCGTCTGCGTTTGGAGATCCGTTTTTCGCATCGAATTGTGAACCATTGGAACTCCCTACCGGAACACGTCGTATCAGCGCCATCCGTTGATTCATTCAAGGCGAGATTGGACCTCCTGTGTGTAACAAATCGAAAGGATTAACACAGGCATATAGCCTACTATCCTAAATAAATTGTAAACTGTAAACTGTAGATGAAATCGTTTTGATAAATAAGAAACTAGAAAGTTGATACGTCTCATTGTAATTGGAATGTGTTTTATAGTTATTGAAATAAAAACAAATTAGTTCAGCGAAGAGTCTCTTTTCGGCGAATTCATTCACTTAGCTGTACAGTCGCAAATATATATACAATTATTTTGTGTGTGTGTGTGTACATTAGGTTTGTCAAAATCAAAATAACAGTTAGTGTGGGTTGTTGATTATATCATCAAGATAATGAAGAAGTTAAAATGTGTGATTAATACTCAAAGTTGTAACTAAGTGGGTGAAGATCGGTAAGATGTGAGCAGAGTTACATCATCAAAGTAATGAAGAAGTTAAAACGTGTGATTAATACTCAAAGGTGTAACTAAGTGGGGTGAAGATTGGTAAGATGTGAGTAGGGTTACCTAATATGGACATGTTTGGAAAGATTAGATGCTAGACAATTATGAAAATAAACTAGATAATAGGTGAAAAGATTGAATGGGTTAGTTACTAAAAATTGTTATACGAAAATTGCAAAAAATTTGATAACAAAATGTTGATGACAAATAAGCTTGGAATTAAACCCACGGTAGTAGGAGGGGGTGGAGAAGTTTCTTCTGTGTGCATAACTCAGGCTTTTCCATCCAAATCGCTAAGGCTTCAGCAATACAAAGTATACGAAAGCTTGTCGATTTTGGAAGGCTTCTTTTGACTTTATAGATGACTTTGAACGACTTCTCCTTGCAAATCGAATGACCAGTGTTGAGTATATGCTCAATAATGGCGCTCATTATTGCTCCGTTGTTACCTTTCCGTAGCCAGGCGGGATAGTGTTCTTGAACTCTTTTAGATAAAACACGCATCGAACGACCTATATACCTCGCTCCACAAGAGCAGGTGAATTGGTAGATACACATGGAAGTGGTCAAATGCGATAGTTTATCTTTAGAGTAGTTGAAGAACAATGGCCGGGAGGAAAATGTCAGTCGTAGTGTGGCAGCGAAGAATGTCCTTCTGAGAGCAGTAGATATCCTCTTCTTCAAGATGTCAGCCAGAAGGTCACCTTTGAAGGGTACATTCATGTAGACCATCTTCTTCTGCACTGTAATGGGTTGTTCTTTGTACGTCTTAGGCTTAATGTGCTTGTCTATAAAACGGGGTGGGTAGCCATTCTCGAGCAGTGTCTTCCTTAAGCGGGCGATCTCTTCCTCTATTGATTCTGGACTACAGATTTTTCGGATTCTAGTCGCCAGAGATATTATCAAATTTCGCTTGCGACTTATTGGTACCCAACTGTAGAAGTTTGTCAACTGACCGTTCCATGTAGGTTTTCTGTGTACTGATCTGTTCAAGGTACCATCGGTCTTCTTAATTAGACGAACGTCCAGAAAGGAGATTGTCTCATTGGTTTCTACTTCGATTGTAAATTTGATGGCAGGGTGGCAACTATTGAAAACTTGAAGAACAATATTTTGATCACAATTGTGATCGCAGATGGCGAAGGTATCATCGACATACCTTTTGTGTAAGAAGAATTTGTCGATGGTTGCTTTCAGCGGACCGTTTTCCAAACTTGCCATGAAAATATCAGCCAGCACCGGACCCAAAGGTGATCCCATCGCCACGCCATCTTTTTGTGTATAGAAGTTCCCATTGAATGTGAACTGGACATTTAGGGTACATCTGAGTAGGAGTTCTTTTAGCTTGGTGGTAGGTATTCCAATATCCAGGTTGTTTTCTTCCAAGTATTTGCATAGAAAACAAATCGTCTCAGTGATAGGGACGTTTGTAAAGAGAGACTCGACGTCGAGTGAAATCATACGTTTGTCTCCCACTTTAACATCTTTGATGCAATCGATGAATTCGAAGGGTATCCCACTTCCATGTGTATCTACCAATTCACCTGCTCTTGTGGAGCGAGGTATATAGGTCGTTCGATGCGTGTTTTATCTAAAAGAGTTCAAAGGAGCAATAATGAGCGCCATTATTGAGCATATACTCAACACTGGTCATTCGATTTGCAAGGAGAAGTCGTTCAAAGTCATCTATAAAGTCAAAAGAAGCCTTCCAAAATCGACAAGCTTTCGTATACTTTGTATTGCTGAAGCCTTAGCGATTTGGATGGAAAAGCCTGAGTTATGCACACAGAAGAAACTTCTCCACCCCCTCCTACTACCGTGGGTTTAATTCCAAGTTTATTTGTCATCAACATTTTGTTATCAAATTTTTTGCAATTTTCGTATAACAATTTTTAGTAACTAACCCATTCAATCTTTTCACCTATTATCTAGTTTATTTTCATAATTGTCTAGCATCTAATCTTTCCAAACATGTCCATATTAGGTAACCCTACTCACATCTTACCAATCTTCACCCCACTTAGTTACACCTTTGAGTATTAATCACACGTTTTAACTTCTTCATTACTTTGATGATGTAACTCTGCTCACATCTTACCGATCTTCACCCACTTAGTTACAACTTTGAGTATTAATCACACATTTTAACTTCTTCATTATCTTGATGATATAATCAACAACCCACACTAACTGTTATTTTGATTTTGACAAACCTAATGTACACACACACACACAAAATAATTGTATATATATTTGCGACTGTACAGCTAAGTGAATGAATTCGCCGAAAAGAGACTCTTCGCTGAACTAATTTTCTAGTTATGTCGGCGTAAAATATCCTCCTTAATGTCTTTCATTATAATTGTGTATTTTTCTTGTGAATGAACGCCTTTTTTATGTGTATAATACATGGTTTTTTCTTATTGGTCACCTCAAAGACATTGGTGTGTTCTCGCTCCGTGGTCACTGTTCTTTATGTTTACCTTTTTAAGAGTTAGTTGCTTGATATTTGATTTGTTTCAAGGTTAAAAGGCAAGCTCATAAACCTTTTAACCGGAGTATCCTGGGTTCGAACCCTGGTGGCGGGTACGTACTACCTATCAGCCTCAAACTAAGCCAGAACAGCTGTCCGGTACTCCTTGCTGGTTTGCCAATGCTTCTCTAACTAATATCTATACGTGATCAAAATCTTGAAACGAAAATAGTGTTTAAGACAACTGTATATGATCCCAAATGAACTCACCTTAGATAATCTCGTCGACATAATGACATCCTTGCTTTGATATAGAATATTTTGTCTAATTCTGCTAATCTTGCATCACAACAAACACAGCGTAGACAATCTTCATGCCAGTATTGACAATCGGCCAGTAGAAAATGACTTTCTTTAATGCATTGTTTACATTTTGAACAAACTTTTATCTCAGGCATAGTGTGATATTTTCAGTTGTATATATGTATACGTATTAATACTTTGAAGCTGACACCTTGATTTTATAATCGACGTTGAACTGGATGAGACATTGAAGTGAATTATTCGAACATTTTCTTTTGAAGTAGAAAGTATAGAAGAAAGAAAAGACAAATTGAAAATTAAATTATACTGTTGCAATATATCTTTATCTTAAGCGCCTAATTTACATTCTTAAAATACATTCAGTATGTCTGTTACTAAAAACACTAATAGTGAAGTCCATCTCTGTTTAAACAAACAAAGACATATAAGATAAGATTTTATTTTGATAAATCACACAGTGTTATACAGTAATATTAACTGATGACCACGTTTCGAGCACAAACTATTGCTCATAATCATATCAAGGCACTCACACAACTTTCTTGCTTCATTTATATACATGAGTAAGAATTGATGATTAGACATTTGAATAAAAATCAATATAAGATGATAAAGTACATTCAGAGATAATAATATGAGTGTTATTGATCAAATACAATCAGATGGGAAATAAGACGAGTGTTTGTTTTAGTCATAATAAGTAACTTGTTAGAATGTTGTGATGTGCTTGAATTGAAATAGAATTTTAAGATTATTTATTATCCTCTTCCGATTTGACTGGCGGTAATAATATCTTTCATATTTCTGGTATTTGCATTGAGTCATTTCTGTTGCATGTGTTGGGTGTAGACTCAATGAACCAGGCAGGATTCAGTAATAAACCTCTCTCCCCACCTACCTGTATTACTTCTTAGAATCTTAACCCTCTCCCACCCTATTGTGCGGTTGTGTGTTAATGCATGTAGTGCAATTGCTGAGCTTTTTTCTAAATTACTTATCTTCTCGGAGTCAACCGTTCTAATCTTAGCTAAATTCTTATGTTCCGACAATCTGACTACCGCCCATCTACTAGTTTGACCTATATAGTTGACCTCACAATCATTGCAGGGTATTTTGTAAATTATACTATTTTGTTTAATTTGGTCCACCAGGTCTCTTAGCCTACAGAGCTTGTCTCTGAGTGAGTTTGTAGGTTTAAATGCTACTCTAATTCCCACTTTATTAAGAATCCTACCATATAAGGAGGGGATATCTGAAACCCTTTCTACGTAGTGATGTAGCGATACTACGCTTAATGCCTTTGATGAGCATCCTCCACTTCACGTTGACATGGTGAACCACACTGTCGACTGCAGCTTTCCAACTGCAGCTTCAGGAAATTTACCCAGGAGCCATCTGTGCGCTGGCAACCGGTATTCAGAATATAAGATTTGTGGGGATTTCGGATTTATTTCAATTGTTAGATTTTTTATGAATCAGCATCAGCTCCAGAAATCAATGAAAACCAGGGAGCCCTGGGGAGTCGTGACCAGTGGGGTGAAGTGAAGGCTGCCCATCGACGGCATTGATGAGGTCAACAATATATCACGAATTGACAAAGTAACAATTCAGGGTTCATAAGAGTCTAGCACAAGTAGCTGGATAATGAACGAGCTTCGTCTCGTAACCTGAAGGTCCCATGTCCTATCTGTGGTGGTGGGGTCGTGGTTATGTACTGCTGTGATGTCCCGAAATAGGACGAAAGAGCTGTCCAGTGCTCCCAGTCCGTTTTCAATGATCTCTCTAACTGCTGTTAGTCCGTAACGAAATATAACAATCGAAATTAATCCAAAATCCCCTGAAAATCCTACTTATCTGGATTTAGACAAATATTTTTATGTATAGTGAGTGATTTCTGTGAAATTTCTATCTAAGCTAATTGAAAAGACAGAAGTGAAATCGAAAAATTAAAATGTCTACAGAAATTTAAATATTCATTTACCTTATGCTGACAAATGAAATATCATATGACGTGGTGCTCGAATACATCTCATCTTGCTTTTTTCTCAGTATACCTTGTGAAGATGGTTTGTTATTTAATCAAATAAGTCAGTTTGCACACTAATTAGTAGGTGAGTCTGAGGTTCTATGTTAGAATAGCATGGGTTCGATTCCCGGACGACGCACTCATCAGTCTTGCCTGATTTACTAGCCGGAAATAAGACGGGATAAGATTGAAGATTAATTGTGGGACTAGCCACATCACGCCGTGAAAACAATAACACCGCTAACGAAATTTCAAAGCACGAAATTCCATGTTCTAGGAATGAAAAGGTAACTATACTACCTGATAAACTGCCTAACTGTTTTACTGTTTTTTACATTACTAAAATGAAAGTGAAACATATTTGATTTACTATTCTGTATGGAATTAACTGTGTGTACACGTATGTGTGTTAGAGAGAGAGATTCTGTTATTGTCTTCAGTGATTCTTTTTTATAGACAGTTCTAGGTCTGTTATGAGGTGGTTGAAGGCAATCGGAAGGAATCTTGAACGAGCTCGTACCACCTCCCCCCTGAATTTCAAACACGTGTAACCCAGTGCTACAGTCAAAGACACTACCACTGAGCTATCCAGGCTCACGACTGACCTTCTGTAGGACTGTATTTTTGATACTTTAATTGAACACCAATGATATTCCTAGTTGTGGTGGTGGACTGGATTATGCGTCAGACAGTGGGAAACGAGAAGACAGGGATATCCTGGACCTACGTGAAGAACCTAGAAGACCTGGATTTCACGGATGATTTATGTTTGATGTCACACAAAATCAAAGACTTACAAGCGAAAACCGACAAACTGGTCGAAGAAGCAGCAAAGACAGGACTCCAGGTGAACATAGACAAGACGGAGGTTATGAAAATAACCAACCAACAACAACAACAACAAGCAGCAACATCCAGCGCCAATCACCATCAACGGGAGGGATTTGAAAGAGGTTACTTCATTCACTTATCTAGGGAGCATTGTCTCAACTACAGGAGGAACGGACGACGAGGATGTCAAATCGAGAATTGGGAAGGCGAGAAACACATTCATCAACCTGAAACCAATCTGGAAATCTTCGTCACTCAACTCAGCATCAACAACAAAATTCGGATTTTCAATACAAACGTCAAGTCAGTCAGTTCTTCTATACGGATCAGAAACTTGGCGGGTCACAAAGAATATTTCCAACAGCCTGTTGCAGACCTTTATCAACAACTGTCTTCGCTCTATACTGAAGATCAGATGGCCGGAAAGAATCACCAACAAGAGACTATGGGAACAAACAAAACAAGAACAAAACAATCGCCCAACAAATATGCAGGAGAAAGTGGAGATGGATTGGACACTCGCTGAGGAGGCCGCTGGATGACATCGCGCGTCAGGCCATAGCTCGAGTGGAACCCGAAAGGGAAGCGGCGAGTGGGACGTCCAAGGGTGACATGGAGGAGATCGTGTGAAGAGGAGTTGAAACAGTATGGACTAACATGGATGCAAGTGAAAAGTACAGCAGAAGACAGAAGCAAGTGGAGGCGTGCAGTTGAAGCCCTATGTTCCACTAGGAACCCAAGAGAATTGTAATAATAACAGATAACTAATTTCGTCCATCTAGCCGTTTTTTTGGTGCAAACTGAATTCTATCGAAAAATTTTGCAATGTGATCAATATGCTAGATGGATCGCCATCACGATACACTCTGAATTGTTTTTATTAATTGATTGGAAACAGTCGGTGGTATCTTGACTGATAGAATTCACTTTGAACCAAATAGAGAAGTAAAGGCATGCTACTAGTTATTTGCCATTTGGTGTTCAATCAAAGTATAGTCCAAAGTCTGTTATATTATAGTCTCAATTTATCATTATGGTGTAGGCTACACTAATCTGGAAAGAGATAAACCATAGAAAGATCAATAATAATCTTTGAAGTTGAACAATCTTGTGTTGGCCATAATGTAGTGAAGCAAATGTTCCGCAGTTAAATTTTTCTAGGATCATTAAAAATTATGTTATAAGATGATACCTCACCATTCTCATTCTGTGAAATAACAGACACAGTTGTATTGTTCTTTGGTATGCAGAATTAAAACTTAATTGATTGCCCCCAGTGTGTTTCTGTTTCATTCACTTTCTCTACACTGATTCACTATGTCATTGTGTTTCTTCGCCATTATGAAGCCAGATCAAAAAATCCCAGTTCATCCCTTAGAGTGAAGTGATTCTTGATATCCACTAAGTTGGTTGGAAAAAGAGTTGCTAAGTGACGACAATAGGTGCTAGTCATAAATTGTTAAAGAGAGTGGGACAGAAAGTTCAGCTATCGTCATACCATTCATTGGACGAATTATGAGCTTAATGTCTTCGAATCTAACAGTTAAAGTCTCAGGATTTTCGAAGGTGATGAATTTGTGTTGCCAAAGAGGCAAAGAGAGTCAAAACCTGTATGACAGATCTCTAAGTCTTCATTTATTATATAATTAACGTCAATGTGTGCACGATAAAATCTATCCACAATGTGTGCAGTACGTACAACGTCATTTAGAATATTAACTGATAGTTATTGACTAATCTACGCATTATCATCTAACAGAGTATAGAATAGCGGTCAATTCTCTACCTCAACGTCATCCGCCTTGAAAAGGCCTTAGATACGATAGAGAAAATTTGTAGCTCAGGTGGGTGATTTTGATGTGGTTGTGTTCTCTGAGCTGGACAGTTCATTTGCGAAGCTTTCATCGCCCTACTAAGTGACATCTTCAGCGCATACTTCAATTTGAAGTGAGCTTTTAGATTTCTCCACGGGTTTATTAATCATCTCTCCTGGTGACCTTGGACGTGATGGTTGTTTTGTGTGTTTTCACACCTTCTAGGTTACTTGTATTGGAACTGATTGTTTCTTTGACTTGAACTTTGACCCTTTGTGTGTGAGGTTTCTTTCTTATCCGTTGATAAATTTTGTCTATGTCGATGTGTCTATTGATTGATGATTCACTGGAATGCCAAGCTTCTAAAAATTCTCTGGCATTCTTGTTGTTCCCTCTGTCTAATATATGAACGTTGTTCCAGTCGAAATGATGTGTGTAGTGATATGAGGGAGTGGATATCATGTCTTTTGACCTTCGACAGCGTTAACCGTGAAGTAATTTGGAAACTACTTCAACACTGTGCAGTGCACTGCCCAAAATTCACATCAGCCTCGTTAAGCAGCTATATGACAACACCAAA